TAGATAGATAGATAGATAGATATATAGATAGATAGCTAGATATATATATATATATAGATAGATAGCTAGATACACACACACACACAGTATATATATTTTTTTATTTTTTCCGGAATTTTCAGGAAAGTCCACTTTCATCTCTGATAAAATTACGTTTTGTTTTGGGTTTTTTTCCACAATGCTCTGAGTTCATTCTTATGAGGTGCATTGTTTTCCCTGTAATATGCCGTACATGCCAAATACAGTTCTTGCAACATTCCGACTTTTACATGTCCTGCTCTGACGTTTCAAATTTTCTTCTTTTCATTTTTTTTTGTAAAATATCGAATGTTTTCTCTTTTAACTTAATTTTCATCATGTCTTTATTACATTTTACTCCTTGCATTTCCTAACATTTTCTGTTAAAAAAAATGCTAAAAATCTTAATTCATATTTTTCCACCAAAAAAAAATCCCAACTTTGTTCATGTGAATTTTCTGATGCTCCTCCTTTTTTTCCTGCAAAATTAACATGTTCATGTAGAAATTTTATGTTATTCTCACAAAACAGACTATTTTGTGGAATATCCTGACATTATTGATCTAACATTGTTTTTTTCTTGTAAACTGGTTGTTTTTGTAAAATAACGCACATTTCCAACCTTATACTCCAAGCATTTCATGATAAGCTGTCCACTGTAGTAACCGCTGTCCCTGAAAGGGTTAAATGTAAAAGAGTATGTTCTTCTCAATATTTTTAAAATTCTTTTAACATTAAAAAAACAGATTTTGTTGTACTTTCGTAACCCTTTATTTTCATAACATTCCATTTTTGGGGGGGTCATAACACTTTAGTATTCCAAGCTCTAACCATCCTTTGATGCTCAATGAATCCTCCTTTCTCTCTTTCTTTGAGCTCACCTCAATTCTTTATTGAAGCTTCTTTAAGAGCGTTTCTTCTCCCGAGACTGACGTCATGGTGTGACTCAAAATCATTTCCTGATTTTCCTTTTATGGAAATGCTGCATGAGGGCATTATCTTCTTTTGCTTTATTTTGTTTTGCATGAATCTTATTTCATATAACTTGATGTTGTGTTGTGAGTTCCATGAAGCCAGAGGGGCCATTTCACATGGCCGATATGGAAATTTCCAAGTGAATTATACACACACACACACACACACACACACACACACACACACACACACTAAAATGATGCATCCTGTATGACTCAGTGCACCCTCGTTTATTTCTGGGCGCCGTTTAATGTCATAAAGATAAATGAGAACGTCTCGACGCGCGTCCAAAACGATCGTGTTTTTATGTTGATGTATTGAGTTTTGGGAAGCAATGCAAAAGAGCTACCAAGAGAAACCCAGCACTAGCCTTCACAAAACCCCAGTATTAACGTGGACTCAGCTGCAGATATTATTTTGGCAGCAAATTGGACCACGTTTTGACCCCCAAAATGAAATAATACAAATAAAAAGATGCGATAAATCTGTAGTTTTTTGTGCTGTATTTTTTTTCTTTTTAGTTGTGGGTTAGCTTTGGCGTTATCACAATAATGCATTTTTGCGTGGCATCGTTTCTTGGAGAAAAACATTCAAAAAGGATTTTTTTTAAACAAATGTAATTTTTTTTTTTTTTTTTTACATAATGTTCTTCTTGTGTCATTATGGCTTTTTTCTCATAAAATGTTTCGTAAAAACAGGAATATTTTATTTGATCACTCCAGGATGACCTTATTCTCAAGAAATTCAAAATCGTTTCTTTGGAATTTTCTTTTTTGTCATTTCCAACATGTATTGCTTTTAATCGTTCTTTTCATACCAGTTTTGAATAAATGTCAGGAAAGACTTATGAGCCCACAGCTGTCCAAATAATAAGTGACTTTTTTTTTTTTTGTGAAGCTAACCGCAAATTAAAGTCTTTAAAAATCTTCATTGAGGCCTGGAAGAGTCATTGTTTATTTTATTTTTTTTAACACTCATAGTCATTATTTCTTTTTTAACACTTGACAGCCGGAGCTAGTTTACTCTCCCAAACTTCATGAGCAAATATTGCCACTTGTTTGATATACGATGCCAAAGTCTAATTCTTTCATGTTCATCTCCGCAGCTGCCACGAACTTCACTGGAACTAAAAAAAAAATGTTTTCAATGAAGACGTGTACGGTGAGTTGTCCGCACTGTGTTTTTATTTTATTTGGTGATAGATTGACTACATGAGTTTCGATTGTTTTGGATCGATAGGCGGGAATATAACCGTCAGAGGCGGCGCCATTCATGCGGCCATTTAACAAGCAATTTGCTTCTTGCTGGAGCCCCGAACAATTCCATTTCTATGTCTCCATGCCATAAGTGATTGCTTGAAATGACTTTTTTGCCTCATGAGACGACGAGTCGAAGTACATGCCAAATGACAACGCTGGCTTTTTGAATGAATCTGAGAAAAAAAAATGAAAGGACAACAGATTTGAGGACAAAGTCGTCGGTTTTGGTTCGGAATACTAGATTAGTCAGTAAATAGAGTGCGTGTGTGTGTGTGTGTGTGTGTGTGTGTGTGTGTGTGTGTGTGTGTGTGTGTGTGCGCAGCACACACTTTTTTTTTTTTTTAAATAAGAGGTAGAACTTACCTTAAATGACCAATTCACGTTTCTTTTGGTGAAAACTATCCTTATCTTTTTCCCAAAAACGAATTTTTGCAGTTGCTATTTTTGTACTCATGCCCCGATGCCCCAAGATTGTACTTGGTGGGACCAAAGCCCTGGCGAAATGGGAAAGTCATATTTGCTGTCAAGGAGCAAAGTTTAGCCTGCATTGTAAAGGAGGGTGTATATGCACACTTCAGGTGAAGTCTTCCTCAATGATATTTCATTGTTTTGGGATCCTAATTTATACTAGAGTTATACTGTCAACGATTGATTTAACGATTGGGGCAGCATTAATTCATCTTGATCTTTCGCTTCGTGGCAAGACTCAGTCCGTATTTACTGTACAGTGGTACCTCTACTTACGAACGTCTCTTCATACGGAATTTTCAAGTTACGAAATGCTTCAACAAGAAAACATTGCCTCTTGTTACGAAAGAAATTTCAAGATACGAAAGATAAAAATACAGTATGGGCTGCTACTCGCAGCTCTGAGTTTCCTGAACGCAACATACTACTGCTCTCCCATTAGCTGTTATCGAGCATCATCCTGGCATCCCATTGGCTAAGTGGGACCTCATGGGCTGCTGTCTATGTGTGTAGATGTGTGTCTATGCAGCATCCTCGTCATTCACCCCTCATCCCTTGAGGCGTTGCGATAGTTTTACGTAAATGTGAATCACCCAGAAAAAGTGTTCACCAGTCGGGCGATCGCTCACTATGCCGATGTTTGCCTTGGACATTTTCGAAGGATGTTAAAAGCCGACAAAAGCAAACGTCCTTGGATCAGTTCTTGACAAAATGCCAGGCAAAACCACTTATGAGAGAGAACATGAACTCAAGGGGGCAAAAAATGATGAGGATGCATTTAAGTTAAATGACCATCATCATTTACATTATGCACAACTCTCGTTTATTGTGCAATAATCTAATTGTAACATGTATTTGTGACATATTTTAATGCATTTTTATGCTTTCGGAAACATTTATGTCAAAATTTTGAGTGGGCTCGTAACGAATTAGGGCATTTACATGGAAAATGCGTCTCGACTTACAAAATATTCTAGGACAGAAATTTCTTCTAGAACCAATTAATTTCATAAGGAGAGATACCACTGTACTACAAATCTTCACATAGCATATATCTCGTAACATTGCTTTGACTGTAAAACTAACAAATTGAATGTCGTTTGGTCTTCTAGGCAAACCGAGGCCCGCTCAACTCAAAAACAGGATTTTTCTCTCACCACAAAGAACTTTTTTTCATCATGATCATCCTTCCTGGGGCTGCCACCGAGCTGTTTACATTTCTTTGGAGGCAAAAATCCGAAGTGGACTTCAATCTCTTCTTGATGACAACAACAGCGGCTAAGTAGCCACGGGAGGGTAACGACACGCTGCTCAAGGACCTGCCAATGTCTTTGCTTTGTTATTCTCGAGGACAACAGAAAATGACTCCAATTGTTATGTTGGCAGTATGTCGGCATCAACAAGGTGAAAAAAACAAATGGACAAACCAGAGCTAGCATGACTTTTAAATGTTTACAGTAATACACAAAGTAATATCATCCTTGTGGATATTTTGGGCTTGTTGCGAAAAAGACTTTTGCCTTTCACGTTGGCATTTACTGCTCACCCTGCGATGTGCTTATGCCGCTTTCAGAGTTTGTAAACTGAATATTTTTAGGGGAGCCTTTTTTTTTAAATGGTAAAGCTGTCTGCTTCACTTTTTCTCCACTTCTGCAAATTTTACGAGACTCTCTGTGATGAAATTTGACTTTAGGCTCCGTCCAATGTCCTTGATGATGGTTTTCTGTTTTGTTTTGTTTTTTGTGCACAGAACACAGGGAGCTGTACATTCAGATTGCGTTCAAATTTTGCACATTCATAACAGTACTTGAGATCTCCACGTGGACCAAAAACTGTATCTTTTTCTTCATCTTAAATCATTCAAAAACGGATTCAACCGGGGTTATTTTCCAGGTTCTTTCTCTTTCGTTTTCAAAAAAAAAAAAACAGTTGAACCAAAGAGTGACTTTTCGTTCATCAAATCAAACATTTGACATGACTGATTAGATGTCTATTGAAAACTATATGGACATGGAATGAAAAACCCTTATTTTCTTTTTAGGTTATTAAATCACAATCCAACCCCTTCAATAAACCTCAAGACCTTTTTTCATGATGTCTCAAATGGAAAACAATCACAGATAAACAATCACTACCCGATCAAATCAATCGCAACCCGAAATATATCCCCGATAGCTATTTCCATCACTGTACTTCAAATTTCCGTGCTTTATTAACATTTATGTCTCTTTGGTGAATTAACATTTCAGTGACAAAGTAGAGAAATATTGTTCTCAAGCAAAACAATTTTTTTCACAGTAGATCTCAGGATTTTCCCACAATTTTTATTAATTTGACCCGACATTTTTTTTTCCTCATCAAAACAACGTGGATACATTCATCGATAACTGAGCTAGAGCAAGCGAATGTATTCCAGTTTGTTTTTCTTCATTTTGTGCATTGTGCGCTAATGCTAACATGTCCTGCTAACATATCGCTTATGAGTTTACAGACTAGTTGCTGTTGATGTGAAAACAAAAACACACCAGACAATCGGTTCCTCCAACGATAAGGGATTTTGGGGAAGATAAATGAAACAAGCAAAATAACACCTTCTGATTGACACAGCAAGCTCGTGCCTAAATAGCGTTAGAAACTGCCAAATCTCGTTCCAACAAACTACTGTAAGCTAGGCCACCTTTACATCTATTTGAATCAAAAGGTCATATTGAGTTGAACCAATGATAAACTGTCGATTCTTACTGTTGTAAGAACGTTTTTACTCAATTGTTTGCTTCCATTTATCCTACAGTAGTACCTCGACAGTACAAGTGCCCCAATTGACAAGTTTTTCAAGGTACTAGCCATTGCGTGTTTTTTGTTTTTGAGACAAAAATGTAAATATTTAATAAGGGTGAATGTTGCTTTGACATACAAGTAAAGTGATTTAGAATCAAGGTACCACACTATTTGATTAAAAAGTTGAAATATATTTTAAAAATAGCACTTAGCATTGTGGTACTACACTGATAAATGTGACGGACCAAAACAACACTGTTATAATTGAAAAATCATAGCGTTTGGCTACCCATGCTAATCATGTTTAGCTGCTAGCTTGTAAGATAACCGCGCTTTTTTTTCTCCATCCAGTTGAAGTAAAGGAAATGGAGTTCCACACACGAATTATGTTTATAGCAGAAGATTGCACATACATACATTCACAGGTTTCACACATACTGGTGTAACCTTTATTGAGATAATAATTAAAAAGGCCTTTGCGCAGATGTTGGCTAACTTTTCTGGCTTAGTTCTTATTTCTTGCAGTAGAATCAGGATCAGTTTTTTGTTGTTGTTCTTCTTTTGGATGTGGGCAGGCAACGCTTGATTTTTCTTAAGTGCTTCAATGTGTAAATTGTGAATAAAGTTTTCCTTTCAGCTTGTAATCATTGTCTTCAGTCATTCTTGTGAGTGCGGCTCAATAATGATATACTGTATACATGCACATACAGTCAAACCTCGGTTTTCGAACGTCTCTGTTCTCGACCAAATTGGTTTTTGGCCAAAAATTTCGAGTTTTTTATGCCTTGGATTACGACCGAAAATCGGTTCTCGGCCAAACTGAGTGCACTTGAATGCGCCGCTTGACTCCTCTCGCCTTCCTTACACGAGGAAGTGACGATTCCTCGTGTAGCGTTCCATTGTGAGCAGACGTGTTCAATAAAGTTTTTTTTTTTTAAAAGAGTGTGGTTTCGGTTTTCGAACAAATTGGTTTTCGAACAGCCTTCTGGAAAGGGTTATGGTCGAAAACAAAGGTATGACTGTATATGTAAAAATATGAATACAATTATATATTATTGATCAAATTAATATATGTATGTATAAGTATGTACAGTGAAACTCCTCTATAACGAAATCATTTTTGCAGCAAGACATTTTTCACAGCGGGGGTTTTCACTGTAGCAAATTTTATCTGAGATGTAAACACACACACACACACACAAACGTATATGTGTACTCTTTATTTTTATTCCAGTACGGTACGTAGTGCATAAATATGAGCATACACTTATTTGATATTGTTTAACATTAACATAATTTTTTTATATTAATCACCCCACTTTGTCTGTTGGTTTTGAAAAAGTCATTTATACTCTTGTATAAAAAAGGAAGTTTCAATATCTATAATTTTATTTCAAACTTTACTTTAAAATGCACCTGAAGCATAACAGTACTGTAGTGAATATGTCTACTGCATACATTACTGTAACACCTTATGAATATGTAATTAATAAATTTAATGATACAAAACTAAGAAAATAACCACCCAAAAATCAGTTACATTTTTGGGTTATGTTGTAAAGCAACATTCGAATTTTCTATCCATTCGTGAAAAAACAATTGATAGAAAATAAAAGTATTGCTTTGTTAATTTTTAGCTGATTTAAACTGGAATTTAAATCAATGATTTTTTTAAATCAAACAATCCTAATCCCAAAGACACTTCATACTGTACAGTACTGTACTGTATTGCCAATGTACAGTTGTGCAAAGAGAAAAAAAAGGAAAGAAATTGCGAAATTTACGATCAGCATTCACTTTCACTTACATCAATTTCTTGGATAATGTGTTTTATTTTGCTTCCTCCGTCTTTCATTTTGATCACTTTTACCCTCTCTTCCAGCTTCAGAGCTCTTGTCTTCGCTCCTTGGCATCCATAGGTCCGTTTTGTAGCCATTTTAGCTTAGCAATGCAACGAAATACTTCCTGGACTACTGCGCATGTGTAAACCAGTGTGATGGTTGCTGTTGCAGATTCGCAGCGAGGCAGTAGGATTCGGTTTTGGTTGAGGTTGGATTAGACTTTTGCGGAAGGCTTGTTTTCGTTGTAGTGAATCTCATCGCGAGGCAAGAGCAGAGAAAAATATTTCGTATAACGGAAGAGGGGGATTTTTCGTTGAAAGGGGAGCAAAAAAGTGGGAATGGCTTTCATGCATGAAAGTGTTTTCACACTAGGGGATATTTTCGCCCATGTTGGTTTCGTTGTAGAGGAGCTTCACTGTTTACCGGAACCGCTCCACCAGGAGGTTCAATCAGGCCCGCAGGATCATTTAAAAATGAAAAAACGCATAGACACGGAATGAATATTTTTAATAAGGTGCAATTCATGGAGTATCCGCTCGGGGACACACTGTTTTGATCAGAGTAAAAGACAACATTGTTTTGATCAGAGAAGAAGACAACAGCAGTCTTAGTCGGTCACTGAGACAGACCCAACACAGCAGGGACATGTGAATGATTTTCAGAAAAGTCCACTTTCATCTCTGTTTATTCTTTACACATTTAAGTCAAGTCAAGTACAACTTTATTGTCAAATGTGGTGTATGTGGAACATACAGCACAGATGAAATTTCTTCCCTTTCAAGACAACAATAGCAATCTCCTTCGTTTCTAAGGTGTAGGCAGGGATTAAATTTAGATTTTATATGCACATGTGTAAATGGTTTAAAAATTCCTTTCTTTATAAATCTTGTTTAATCTTAAAATGCATTACTATATTTTTCAATACCATATTACTTGTTAAAGTTTTGTGCCTTAGTACAATCAGTGGGATCAGTTGCAATGCATATATGTGAATGATAAAAGTAAATTGCACATTTGTCTAAGGAAATCTAAGGTGCTTCATGAAATGTTTTGTAAAAAATATGTTCTTTAAATTTCAACATTTTCCAAATATTCTTGTGCTTCTTTAGACCAAAACAAAGGAAAGACATGTTACTTTGGTTATTAATAGCAGAGTATGGAAAATTTTAATGGTCCGGCCCACTTGACATGTTAATCCCACTTGACATCTACCGAGGCCGTATGTGGCCCACCATGTGAAATGAGTTTGACACCCCTGCTGAATATGAATACTGTAATTATCACCACATGAAAAGTGTGCTATTTATTTAAACGCCAGTACAGTCAAACCTCGGTTTTCGACCATAAAAACATAAAACAACTCTTTTTAAAGTATTTTTCAAACTATTTTACACCATAAACTGTATACACATGTAATAAGAGACCAGGTAATATGTAAAATACTGTACAAACTACAAACATTTTGTATGTTTTATTTTTACCAATTTTAACATAAACATTAACATTGGAACGTAAAAATTTAAAGAACCTCTCTCTCTCTCTCTCTCTCTCTCTCTCTCTCTCTCTCTCTCTCTCTCTCTCTCTCATCGTGACAGTTGTAGTTTGCATTCTTTTACGCCTTAAATTTATAAACCCTAAAGTAATGGCTGTAAATATGGACGTGTTGTTCTTCGTGGTATTAGAAAATAGCATGCAACCTTCTGAATAATTTATGAGTAGACATTCATTTCACGAGTTTGTTTTTCGTTTAATTGAATCAACGTTTTGTAATGTGATCGGTGAAAAAAAATATCACTCGTATACACATGTAATAAGAGACCAGGTAATATGTAAAATACTGTACAAACAAACTACAAACATTTTGTATGTTTTATTTTTACCAATTGTAACAAACATTAACATTGTAACGTAAAAATTTAAATAACCCCTCTCTCTCTCTCATCGTCACAGTTGTAGTTTGCATTCTTTTACATGTTGAATTTATAAACCCTAAAGTAATGGCTGTAACTATGGACGTGTTCTTCGTGGTATTGGAAAATAGCATGCATCCTTCTGATTAATTTATGAGTAGACATTCATTTCACGAGTTTGTTTTTCGTTTAATTGAATCAACGTTTTGTAATGTGATCAGTGAAAAAAAATATCACTCCTACATATGTTGTGACTGAGCAATCACTTGACTTACAACTTGCTTGAACTGAGTAATGACTTCACTTTTCTCGTTTGAAATTTGGCCGCAACACGACTTGACGTGCTAGACTTGTTTTTTTCTTCTCCGCAGTGACTTCGGGCTTTCTTGAGACTTGGAGATTCGACTTGAGTCGTACTTGTAACTCGAAAATGTGGCTTACCCTCACCTGTGCTTATTATTAGCATTCTTAAATTGTTGATGTGAACAAGACTTTCAAAATTAATCCTGATCAGATCATGTGTAAACTGCTTCACGAAGCAATCGCGTGCAGATGCAGTTCTTTTCTACACCATTGAGTGTCACTGTTGCTTAAAAAAAACGCCACTTCAAGATTGGTGGAAAGACATGCAGTACTGAAGTTGCTTTCACAAGGTCTTTTTACATTTTGGTTTTTATATTAAAGTGGATGCTCTGCAACCACATAACGTCATTAATTCAATTTATGTAACACATAACTTGATTCATGGTTGTACTGTATTACGGTAAAAAAAAATGCATGGGTGTGAGTGAGTGTAAGTGAGGGGGAAGTTTTTTTTTTTTTTTTTGCAAAATGCTGCAAAGAGAAGTTTTTTATCTGGATTTTTATTGTTCATTGTTTTGCCAGAAGCTGTTACATTTTTGTAAATGTAACTTTCCTAAATGAAATATATAGATTTTTTTTTCTGTGTGTGTGTGTGTGTGTGTGTGTGTGTGTGTGTGTGTGTGTGTGTGTGTGAGCAAGTGCATGCATGTACAGTATCTGCTTCACCAAACAATCGAGTATAAATGATGCAATTCCCTTCGAGACCTTTGAGTGTCACTGTTGTCTAAAAGAAGAGGCCACTTCATCATGACGATATTGTTGAAAAGATATCTGCAGAAGTTGCTTTCAAAAGGTTTGATCACATTTTGGTTTTTACATTAAAGGCGAAGCTCTATAGCCTCATAATATAATTAATGTCCCCTATGTAACATATTCATTCATAGTTATTTTACAGCAGACAAAATGAACGAATTAATGAAAGTGTGGGCGTGAGAATGTGTCAAGGCGTGAAGGGGAGATCGTGATTTTTTTTTTCTTCAAATTGGTGCAAAGAGAAGCAAGGCATACAAACAAAAGTTCACCCTGGAGCATTTTGAAATCTGTTTGGATGTGAATTGTGAAGGTGAGTCCATTAGTTTGGCAGAGGTTGTCATGTTTTTGCATGAAATACTTTGAATAATCAGTTTTGTTGCAGCACATGAATGTGATCATAAGATACAAATGCACCGATCATTAGTCGATATGTTACAGTTTTAGTAGAGAAACGTAATTTTTGTCATGATTGTCATAATTTCGGTGAATAATGTACAAATATATGTTTTGACTGAACACGATGGCGTGACTCGACTCTGACTTGCTGAATCTAAATCATGAATTGCATGAAATTTTAGTGTGACCTCGACTTGAGTTGCTTGATTTTTGCCACACTAACTTGGCACTTGCTTGAAACTTGAGGGTTAAGACTTGAGAATGATGACTTGCACGTGTGTGACTTATTCCCACTTCTGTTGTTTCTCAGTCATCTTCCGGGTAGTATTGATGCTGTTGGTCTCCAACATGATCCGACTGCTGTTTCTGGCGTGCCTCTAC